TGGTAGTGATGGTGGTGTTAGTGGTAGTGGTAATGGTGATGGTGGTAGTGATGGTGGTGTTAGTGGTAGTGGTATTGGTGATGGTGGTAGTGATGGTGGTGTTAGTGGTAGTGGTGATGGTGATGGTGGTAGTGATGGTGATCGTAGTGGTAGTGGTGATGGTGATGGTGGTAGTGATGGTGGTGTTAGTGGCAATGGCTATGGTGGTGGTGGTAGTGGTGATGGATGTGGTGATGGCGATAATTGTGGTGATGGTGGTAGTGATGGTGGTGGTAGTGGTAGTGGTGATGGTGATGGTGGTAGTGATGGTGGTGTTAGTGGTAGTGGTGATGGTGATGGTGGTAGTGATGGTGGTGTTAGTGGTAGTGGTGATGGTGATGGTGGTAGTGATGGTGGTGTTAGTGGTAGTGGTGATGGTGATGGTGGTAGTGATGGTGGTGTTAGTGGTAGTGGTGATGGTGATGTTAGTGGTAGTGGTGATGGTGATGGTGGTAGTGATGGTGGTGTTAGTGGTAGTGGTGATGGTGATGGTGGTAGTGATGGTGGTGTTAGTGGTAGTGGTGATGGTGATGGTGGTAGTGATGGTGGTGTTAGTGGTAGTGGTGATGGTGATGGTGGTAGTGATGGTGGTGTTAGTGGTAGTGGTGATGGTGATGGTGGTAGTGATGGTGGTGGTAGTGGTAGTGGTGATGGTGATGGTGGTAGTGATGGTGGTGTGGTGCTAGTGATGGTGGTAGCAGGTACTCCCTGGAGTGGTTCTGTTGGTTAGATGCCCTGCCACATCTCAGAATCACCAGCCTTATTTTTAACACTGCTGACGAAAGACAATCCAAAGGCCATGAGGAAGAGTGGCTTTTTCTGGCCCCTCCCCTTGCCCCAGTTACTGCTCTCCTCTCTTCACCCCCTCCTCCCACTCAGGCTCAGAGCCATCCTAGGAGACGCACACTTAGAGGCCTCAGCCTGGCCGTGTAGGTGTGACCTGAGAAGGAACAGTACCTGCGGTTCCTAGCAGGGCACAGGCTCAGGAAGGGATCTTGGTGCTTAAGGAAAACCATTCAAGGCTCCAGGGGTGGTGGTGGTGAGGAGCAGGGGGCTTTGTGCGGGCTGGAAACAGCCAAGATGAAGCAGGCTCTCTTCTCTGTCTCCTCTCTCTTCTCAAACTGCAGTTGGCAGTGGAGAGTCTGGAGGGCTGAGGAAGTACAGGTTCAGAGCTCATCCTCCCATTCTGAGGGTAAGGCTGGTGGAACTTGAGAATCTGCCTTTCTGGTAGCTTGGGGGTAGGGGCTGGGCGCCGGAGGTGGCACTGCATTGAAAGCTGTAGCTTCTGGATGGATGGCAATTCTTCTGCCCTTTACCCAGGGTTTCTTGGTCTGGACTCCCTAGGGAGGAAGGCTGCAGGTTGGGGGGGGCACATATGGGACAGAGGGGGCTCTGCAGGAGGGACAGCCAGGCTATGGAGTGGGACCGAGCCTTGCGCATCTCCATCCCTGTGCTGACTGTCCTGGTGGGGTCCCCTAGAATCTTGTCTCAGGTGGAGGTTGCTGTTCCAGCCATCCAGGCTAGGCGGCGGCTTAGCTCCCCAAGGCATGGGAAAATTAGCTTCCTAGCTGCTCACATGACCAAAAAAGGACATCTTCTTGGCGGAGGCCTGGCCCGGGCTCTCCCTCCTCCCAGCACCTGGGGTTTCAGGTTCCGGGAAAGTGGCTCTGAAAATGTAGGACTTTGTCTCCGTGCACCCACATGCAGGCGCCACCGAGCCTGAGGACCCGCGCCTGGTGAACGCTGTTCCGTTTTCCTCTTCCCCTCCCCTCTTCCTCCACCATCACCATCATCTTCATCCGCCCTCCTCCTCACACTTGTTCACGAGCTGCCTCTCCTTTCCCAGCAGCAACACTTTACACAGGGGGAAGCTGAAGCACAAGGAGAGGAAAGCATACATCCAAGGCTCTCAAGTCCTGGCAGGGTAGGGGGTGACCGTGTGTGGTGAGGGAGGGCGGGCGCAAGGACACGGTCCAGTTCAGCCTTTATTTAAAATATGCTTCAGTTTGCTCAATGATGATGGGTGTTTTGTGGGGGGGTTTTGCATTCATTTTAAAAACATTTTTCTTAGCATCGGTGAATGGTTATGAGTGGGTTTCAGTCTGACAGGTCCATGAGTACACACAATGTATCTAGTTCAGACTCACCTCTCCATTGCTCTCCTTCCTCTACCTCCCCGTCTTCTTAGCTCCTGAACAGGCTTCATTGTTCCCTTTCACATATGCACATAAAGTTTTTTGACCACACTCATGTCTTTCCCTCTCCAAGGCTCCAATCCAAACAGTAGTTTTGCACTGGGTGCTGGTGGTTCATGCCTGTAATCCTAGCGACTCAGGAGGCTGAGATCTGATGGTTGCTGCTGGGTTGTGAGCAGCAAACCAACCCAGGCAGGAAAGTCCATGAGACTCTTTTCTCTAATAAACTACTCAGAAAAAGCCAGAGGTAGCTTTTGTGGCTCAAGTGGTAGAGCGCTCAGGGGCAGCACCAAGGCCCTGAGTTCAAGCCTAGCATGTGCACATGCATGCTCACACACTCACATGCATGCACGCAGGCACACATGCAAGCATGTGAAATATTATATTAAAATGTGATTTTTCTTAATTGCCCAGATTTTTAGTTTCTGAGTGCCTCACTCACCACACCCGACCCAACCCCTCACTGCAGGACCAAAATGGGAATGCAGGGCCGGTTCTTAACTCTCCCCTGAGCTACCTACCGCCTGGCGCATGTGCTGTGGTGCGTATGTACAGGGGGTTTGCAGGTAGGCCTGCTCCGGTACATTCTTTCCTGCGGTAATGAGCTATGGTGGCCCAGTGGAAAGGATGGGGCTTGGGAGGTTTGAAATCCGACTCTTCCCTGCTGTATGGAAGCCCAGCCTGTGGGAAGGGCACAGCTCTAATCCCAGAATGCCTTGGCTTCAATCCTGGAACCATTGCTTCTTCACCTTGTAAGCTGGGCCCTCAGCTCCTAGCCATGTATGGCATGGTAGAACACTGCTCAGCTGAACCTGATTTGGGTTTGGGTCCAAAAATCCCAACTCCCTGGGGCTAAAGGTGTGTGTATGGCTCAAGTGGTAGAGTGCCTGCCTACCAAATGTGAGACCCTGAGTTCAAAACCCCAGCATCTCCCTTCCCTCCCCCAGCCCAAACACAATCCTAAGTCTTGGATTTCATGACCCTGTGACCTTGGGCAAGTTACCCGTGCATGCCTCAGTTTCTTTCTGTGTAAAATAGGGAAAATAACAGCACTAGCTTGCTTGTTAGAATGGTTACCTGGGACGATCATTATGACTCCTTTAGAACTGCGCCCAGCCTGTTGGTAAGCAGAGCCACCGCTATTGTTGTTGTTTTGTTGTTGTGGGTATGTCCTCTGTTAGTCTAGCCTGACAAGATGGTGGCCAAAACCAACATCTCCTCTAAGTGCTTAGTGTAGTGAATGTCTAAAGTTTGTTCTTATCACATTCCAGTGTGGGGCTGCGGGAGGGGGTTCTCGCTCTGCACAGTCATTGATGGGTTCAGGGTCCCTTCACATTTCTTAATTGGAGCCCACAAGGGTGTTCTGTGGATAGAATTCAGGGCGTCCATGAATTGAGTGGCATGTTAAGTTCTCACCCACGGGGCTTGAGAAAGGGGTTTTTGAACATGTGGTATGCTGGGGAAAGACTCTCAGGAGAGAGAAGCAGAGGCAAGAGAGCTCAGGACCCAGAAGGAGCTGAGAGAGGGCGGGGCCTCTGCTGGAGACCTCCTTCAGCCTGGAGTGCTGGGGGCGCCCCAGGTTACAGTGGGGTGCTCTGGGGTAAGAGAGGGCTGGCCAGGGCTGTGGAGTGGACGACAGAGGAGTGGCACTGCAGCATCTGGAAGGGCGTGACTTGTTGGTTTCAGCTCTCTGAGGTAGCACTGAGCCCTGGCCACCGGCATGCATGAAGCTAGGCAGTCCCTGAGGGCACCAGAAGTCCAGACTGAAAATCTGTGTGTGCATCGATGTGGCTAATTTTGAAGTGAAACTTAACATTACCTTTGAAAACATAGCTGTAAGCAGCAAACCACGTGGCTCTGGCAGTGTCCGTGACTTTCTCACGAGTAGAAGTCACACACATTTCATGTCATAGTACTGTCGAGACACATACGCTTGAAATATCTTTTATACTAATTTAGTCTTTTAATATGGTAGTGAGGAACGCGGTCTTTTGTTTAGTGTGTTAAAGGGTATGCATTATTATTATACAGATTTGTCCTCTTCAATACTTGGGTAACAGTGTGTCAATATAACTGCAGTCCAGTGTACGTGATGACTTTCTCATTTTATTTTATTGCCAGTCGTGAGACTTGAACTCAAGACTTGGGCACTGATCCTAAGGTTTTTTTCAGTCAAGGCTGAGGTTCTACCACTTGAGCCATATTGCCGCTTCCAACTTTTTGGTGGTTAATTAGAGACAAGAGTCTCATGGGCTTTCTTGCCCAGACTGGCTTTGAACCGCTATCCTCAGATCTCAGCCTCCTGAATAACTAGGATTATAGGCACAAGCCATAGGCATCTAGGTGTTCTATACATTTACAAACATTATTCTGAGAAGGGCTCCACAGGCCTCCCTGTGACACGTGAGGTTAAACGCCCAGTTCTGGGATCTTGGTCTTTTCACTGTTCATCGAACAGGAGAAATAGTTTCATGAGCCAGACCTAGAATTAGCATTCCTTGGGTCTTCCCACAGTGCCTTGACCAGAACAGTCACCTGACCACACCTAGCTGCAAGTGAGTCTGGGAAATGTAGTCTATCTGTGAGCCTGTAAAGTAGATAAACTGGAACTGCAGAATGCACAAGTTTGGCCACAGGGCCAGCTATCTATCAACAGCCTGGGTGAGACAATGCCGTCTCCAGGGTGTCTCTCTTTGGTTGCGGAAAGAGAAGCAGAGAACTGGTTTGCGGGTGGATCCTAAGTCTTCTGCCATGTTGTCTCCTTAGGACCAGCCATGCCAAGGCCAAAGCTGAGGCTGCAGACCAGGCTGCCCTGGCCGCCAACCAGGAGTCTACCATTGCCCGTACGCTGGCCAGGGAGCTGGCTCCGGACTTCTACCAGCCAGGTAGGACCAGTCAGGAAGGGGGTAGCCATTCCCTGGGGTGAGTACTAATCGTTGCTTTCTGAAAGTGGAGATGTTTAAACTGACTCATGAATGCTTGCTTTTGGAAAGCTGTGGGGTGTCCTGAAGACCAGGGATGGGGTGATACAAGAATTATGGGTGAAAGATACATCTCTGCCTTCATGCTGAGACTCCAAGCTGGGGCTGGGACCTGCTCCAGCTGGTCTGTCTCCTGTCTGCTCTCAGCAAGGCAGACAGTTGGCACTGGTGAAGTTTTGAGTGGGGGACAGATCTCTGATGGATGAAGGGACCAAAAGGCTTCCTGCACCTGCTTAATGGCTTGTAGCAATTAATCGAGCATGCCTGTGTATCAGGCACAGCGCCAGGCTCTGGGATACCCCCCTGAGGCCCAGAATCTGGAAGAAGACAGTTGAGCATGTGGGTGAGGTACACTTACTATCTGTGTGACTCCCAACTTTCTGATCTGTAGCATGGCATAGGTATCGTGCCTGGTTTTGTTTTTGTTTTAGTCAGTCCTGGAGCTTGAACCCAGGGCCTGAGCACTGTCCCTGAACTTATTTTGCTAAAGGCTAACACTCTACCACTTGTACCACAAGCACCATTTCTGGCTTTTTTTCTGTTTATGTCGTTCTGAGGAATCGAACCCAGGGCTTCGTGGGTGCTAGGCACGCGCTCTACCGCTGAGCCGCATCCCAGCCCCCGTGCCTGCTTTTCTGTACATGGACCAGATGCTTGGTGGCTGGGGCTGCTTTCTCACTACGGTGATTACATTTCACACGATGGGACCAGCGCCGTGCTGGGCACACAGGACAAGAGGTCATTTGAGCCAATCCTGAAGGCCAGAGCAGGTCTGTGGGTCTCACGCATGGCCCAGATTGCTAGGTCCACCCCTGATTTCCTAGCTGAGAGGAGCCCAGGAATGCACATGCACTGTTAATAAGGACCAAGGGTGCCCACGCTGCCAGTTTGGGGCCCTACTTTGACAGCCACTGCACCAGGTAGCCTTGGATGAGGCAGGCCGAGACCAGAAGGAGGGGCTGCAGGTACAAAGGCACAGAAAGTGGGAACCAAGCAGCTCCCAGGTTCAAGACAGGCAGCAGGTGGAAGGAAGGAGCCTGCTGAGTGAGGAAGGACTCCAGGCCGAGACACAGACCCTGAGCCTGGCAGAGCTGTGCAAACCAGAAGTGCTGGAGGGTTTTAGAGTAAGAGACATAATTACTGTTTCAACTACGGATCTGGCGCTGCGCAGGGACTAAAGTGACCTAAGATGGTAAAGCTAGGAGTGTGGACTTCTACCCAGAGGATTCATCTCTTCTGGTCCCAGTGCACCCCCTGCCGGTCTCTAAATAGAGCAGCAAGCAGGTTTGCTCAGGTGGTGGTAGCTTTGGCACTGAACTCATTCATCTTATACCATGCACTTTTCCAGTTCTTCCGTGGTAGAGGAAAAGATGAGGGCATAGAAAGAGGCTTGTGCCTTTTTCTTTCAGTGAAGAGTGTTACCTCTGCTCTCTGCTGTGTGACTTTGGACAAGTGATTTAACCTCTCTGGATCTCACTCCCCCTCCCCCCTCCTTTGTTGTTCATCTGTGAAGTGGAGGTTCACTGATCCCTTAGAGATTTTAAAATGAGTTAATGGCCAGATGCCAGTGGCTCACACCTGTAATCCTGGATACTCAGGAGGCTGAGATCTGAGGGCAGGATTCAAAGCCAATGAGACTCATCCCCAGTGAACCACCAAAAAAGCTGGAAGTGGAGCTGTGGCTTACATGGTAGAGCACTTGCCTTGAGCCAGAAAGCTCAGGTGCAGCACCCTGAGTTCAAGACCAGCACACACACACACACACACACACACACACACACACACACACACACACCAAACCACAACAAAAAAGAGTCGTTGATTCCTATCAGGAAATTGCTCAGATTGGTTAAGCTGCTGGGTCCAGGACCACCCAGTGGGGGCGAGGTGGTAGTGGTGACGGTGGTGATGGTGGTGGCTGGATAGTGGTGGTGATGGTGATGGTGGTGATGGTGATGGTTATGGTGATAGTGGTGGCGGTGGTGGTGGCCGTGGCGGTGATAGTGATTGTTATGGTGGTGATGGTGGTGGTGGTGATGGTTATGGTGATGATGGTGGTAATGGTGGTGGTGATGGTTATGGTGATGGCGATGGCGGTGATGGTGGTGGTGGTGGTGGTGATGGTTGTGGTGGTAGTGGTGGTGGTGGTGATGGTTATAGTGGTGATGGTGGTGGTGGTGGTGGTGGTGATGGTTATGATGGTGGTGGTGGTGGTGGTGGTGATGGTTATGATGGTGGTGGTGGTGATGGTGGTGGTGGTGGTGGTGATGGTTATGATGGTGGTGGTGGTGGTGATGGTTATGATGGTGGTGGTGGTGGTGGTGATGGTTGTGGTGATGGTGGTGGTGGTGGTGGTGGTGGTGGTGGTGGTGGTGGTGATGGTTATGATGGTGGCGGTGGTGGTTATGGTGGTGGTGGTGATGGTTATGGTGATGGTGGTGGTGGTGATGGTGATGGCGATGGCGGTGGTGGTGGTGATGGTTGTGGTGGTAGTGGTGGTGGTGATGGCGGTGATGGTGATGGTGGTGATGGTTATGGTGATGGTGGCGGTGGTGGTGATGGTGGTGGTGGTGATGGTGGTGGTAGTGGTGGTGGTGATGGTTATGGTGATGGTGGCGGTGGTGGTGGTTATGGTGATGGTGGCGGTGGTGGTGGTGATGGCAGTGATGGTTATGGTGGTGATGGCGGTGATGGTGATGGCGGTGGTGATGGTGGTGATGGTTATGGTGATGGTGGCGGTGGTGGTGATGGCGGTGATGGTTATGGTGGCGGCGGTGGTGGTGGCAGTGATGGCGGTGGTGGTGGTGATGGCGGTGATGGTTATGGTGGCGGCGGTGGTGGTGATGGCGGTGATGGTTATGGTTATGGTGATGGCGGTGATGGTTATGGTGATGGTGGCGGTGGTGGTGGTGATGGCGGTGATGGCGGTGGTGGTGGTGATGGCGGTGATGGTTATAGTGATGGCGGTGATGGTGATGGCGGTGATGGTTATGGTTATGGTGATGGCGGTGATGGTGGCGGTGATGGTGGCGGTGGTGGTGGTGATGGCGGTGATGGTGATGGCGGTGGTGGTGGTGATGGCGGTGATGGTTATGGTGATGGTGGTGGTGGTGATGGTGATGGCGATGGCGGTGGTGGTGGTGATGGTTATGATGGTGGTGGTGGTGGTGGTGATGGTTGTGGTGATGGTGGTGGTGGTGGTGGTGGTGGTGATGGTTATGATGGTGGCGGTGGTGGTTATGGTGGTGGAGGTGATGGTTATGGTGGTGGTGGTGATGGTGATGGCGATGGCGGTGGTGGTGGTGATGGTTGTGGTGGTAGTGGTGGTGGTGATGGTGGTGATGGTGATGGTGGTGATGGTTATGGTGATGGTGGCGGTGGTGGTGATGGCGGTGATGGTTATGGTGGCGGCGGTGGTGGCAGTGATGGCGGTGGTGGTGGTGATGGCGGTGGTGGTGGTGGTGGTGGTGATGGTTGTGGTGGTGGTGGTGGTGGTGGTGGTGGTGGTGGTGGTGGTGGTGATGGTTATGATGGTGGCGGTGGTGGTTATGGTGGTGGAGGTGATGGTTATGGTGGTGGTGGTGATGGTGATGGCGATGGCGGTGGTGGTGGTGATGGTTGTGGTGGTAGTGGTGGTGGTGATGGCGGTGATGGTGATGGTGGTGATGGTTATGGTGATGGTGGCGGTGGTGGTGATGGTGGTGGTGGTGATGGTGGTGGTAGTGGTGGTGGTGATGGTTATGGTGATGGCGGTGGTGGTGGTGATGGCGGTGATGGTTATGGTGGCGGCGGTGGTGGCAGTGATGGCGGTGGTGGTGGTGATGGCGGTGATGGTTATGGTGGCGGCGGCGGTGGTGGCGATGGCGGTGGGGCTGGCCGGCGGCCCCGGCGCTCGCCCACCGTGGCGGTGCGGTCCGTCCCGCAGGCCCCGAGTACCAGAAGCGGCGGCTGCTGCAGGAGATCCTGGAGAACGCGGAGGGGCTGCTGGAGCCGCCGGCGCGCGGCGCCCCGGAGCGAGCCCGCGAGAGCCCGCAGCTGCACGAGCGCGAGAGCCCGCGCCCCGAGGGCGAGGGCGGCGCCCCGGCCGCGTCCCCCGCCGCGTCCCCGGCCGCCACGCCGCCGCAGCCCAAGCGGCCCCGGCCCGGGGCGCCCGCGGGCGGCCTGCTGAGCCCGGGCGCCTGGAACGGGGAGCCGGGCGCCGAGGCCGCCCCGAGCCCGGGCCCGGGCCGCCGCGGCCCCGCGCGGCCCGCGGAGCACATGGCCATCGAGGCGCTGCGCCCGCCGCCCGCCGCGCCGGCCGAGCCCGAGGTGGCGCTGTACCGGGGCTACCACAGCTACGCCGTGCGCACCGGGCCGCCCGCGCCGCCCCCCGACGACGACGAGCCCGCGGCCGCCGCGCCGCCGGCCCCCGAGCCCGCGCCCGAGCCGCCGCCGCCCGCGCCCGCGCCCGCGCCCGCGCCCGAGCCCCCCGCCAGGCTGGAGCCCAAGCCCATCGCGCCCAAGGCCGAGCCCAGGGCCCGCGCGCGCAAGGCCGAGCCCCGGGGCTCCGGCAAGGCCGCCGCCAAGAAGAAGGCGCGGAAGGACGCGGCGCTGGCGGCCGAGGCTGAAGTGGAGGTGGAAGAGGTGAGGCGGCCGGCCGGGAGGGGAGGGGGACCCCGGGGAGATGGGCGAAGCCAGCGTCCCGGCCCCGGATCCCGGGGCACAGACAGATGACAGCGAGCCCTACCTCTCCGGGCCTGTGCGCCGAACCCATCGCGAGGGCAGGCGCTCTGGCAGCCACGGGTGTGGGAGAGGCCCCAGGGAGGCCCCCGGGTCAGGGGCCTTAGGCTTGGGAACCAGTAGCAACTGGTGTATGGGTGTATGGGGGAGGACTTCCTGGGGCGCCAGGTGGACCCAGCGGGCCGGACCAGGTGGTCCGTGGGAGCTGGAGGGGGGAGCTGTGGACACATTCACGTCCCTTCTGGCCTCGGGGGCTCAGCCTCCTTATCTCCAAGTGATGCTCCCTAGGAGTCTTCCAGAAGCTTCTCTGCTCCCCTGCCGGTTTTACGCCGGGGTGGGGGTGTTGAGGCCTGCGGGCCTCAGGCAGCCGCTGTCTGTGGCTCCAGGTCCCCAACACCGTCCTGATCTGCATGGTGATCCTGCTGAACATCGGCCTGGCCATTCTCTTCGTTCACCTCCTGACCTGAGCCTCCTCTTCCAGGTGCGCGTGGCCGAGGAAGGGGTGAGGGAGGAGGGCGCGTCCGGAACTCTCTTGTCTCTGTCCTCGGTCCCTCTCCCTCCCACCTCTCCCTCTGCAGCCCATCTCTCCATGGTGGGGGGAGAGGGGCTGGACTGGGCAGGGGTGGGTAGGGGAGTGACCCTTCCCCTATTTTAGGGAGAAGTATGGGGCAAGGTAGACAGACACTGCCTTCCTTCTGAGTCCTGAGTTGGTGATGTGACCAGAATTCCTGCTTCCTGCCCAGCCCTTCTTCTTTGAGCTCAGTGTGGTGGGGGGGGGGGGGGGGGATGGAGGGGGGGAGCGGTTTCCTGCTGGGACCCACGAGACAGGGACAAGGCCTGTGTGCTCATTAGGTGACAGCCAGTGGTAGCATTAACTTGGCAGGTGTGGTCCAGGGGGCAAGTGCTGAGCTGGGGGGGGGGGGTCCCCGTGTGTCCCAGGGGCGGTGGGAGCCCGGCCTGCAGGGTCTCTGCTCTCCACTGAAGGGTGGAAAGGAATCAGATGACAGCCGGGGAGGAAGCAGGAGGGAGGGGTAGAGCCCCCATCCCGTGCTCCCTGCTCTCACTGCGAGCCCATGAATGGGCCCTTGCTCTGGGAGGAGGAGCCTCAGTCTGAGCCCTGCACCTGCTTGTGGCCCCGCCCTGGGGTCCACACCTTTCTTCTCCTCCTCTTCTGACCCTGTTGCTGTCTCTGCAGGGCAAGAGTTCCACCGAGCCCCCAGGGTGCACTTTTATTGTTTGTTGTTGTTTGCAATGCCGGGCAGGTGACCAAGGAGGACTGCACTCCAGACCTGGAGCCCTGGTGCCAGCCCGCATCCATGCCTCCGACATTTCAACAGGCTTGATGCAGGTCTGTGCCGGAGGAAGAGGACTTCTGAGAATCTTCCAGAAGCGCTGCCCAGGGGCTGGAGAAGCCCCAAGGAAGAGTCCTGGTCTCCCGAACCTCCCGATCTCCTCCTGTCCCTTCTTGTCCACTCTCTCGTCCTGCTCCTCGCCACCCCTCCCCTGGGCTTCAGTGTGTTTTGAGAGAAGTTACCTAAGCAGGATATTCATATTAAATTGCTCCCTCTTTCTCCTACCTCACCCCCACTTTTATCTAATCCTTGAGACCACTCAGGAAGCCACGCAGCCCTAGCCCAGCACACACCGTGCTTGGCCCACAGATGATCTAGAAGGCAGCGGAGGAAGTGGACCAGGCATATCCCAGCATGCAGTGCTCTGCCTCTTCCCATCAGCCCTGTGAGATGCCCTTCTGGTCCAGGAGATCAGCGATGCCTGGGTCATTAGTCTTTGGCTGGGAAACCACGGAGCCGGGGTTGTGGATGGGCTGGAAGAGGGCTTGGGTACAGGTGCAGTGGCACCTGAGACCAGGTCGCATGCAGGAGCCCCGAGCCCCGCAGCTTCCTGGGAACCCACGTATCCTCTTCCGGAACCAACGCCATACCAGGCTCAAGAGCGCAGGGCATGGAAACTCTTGGAAACCCAGGCAGATGTCCCTGGGCCACTTTTCTCGGGCAGGTGCTGGAAGTAACACATTTCCCAGGAGAGTGGAGTAAGTCTGGGCACTTTGGCATAGCCTGTGCAATCATGAGCCCCCTTAACTTGCTTGGTAGCAGATGATACCTGCATGTACCTCACTTAAAGAGGTTTGTACCACGCTGGGTTTCTGGGTCCTTGGGCTTGCTGGGGGTGGCACGAGGGGTCGAGGATGGAGAAAAAGGTCTTCCAGAACTCTCCAGGCCTGGGGAAGGAGGTAGTGATGGCAGGCAGGCTGGGCTGGAGGTGCTGCTGCTATTCTGCCTTTGTTTCTCTGGGGCACCAAGGGCTGGGGATGGAGGCCACGCTCCCCAACTCCCCCAGGACAGTTCAGGACCCGGGTGTTTGAGGCCAGCTTCCCCCATTCCCAGTCCACGGGCACTCACCCCTCCAGCTTCTTTCCAGCCCTGCCAGGCCTTTGTGGCTTGGCCGGAATCCTCGCCAAGGAGAGGAGAGGAGCTGCAGACACGCGTGGGCACCCCCACACTCTGGCTTTGGTCTCTGCCGGACTTCCAGGAACTGAGAGGCTGATGGGGCTGCTCAGAGCCGATAGCCCCCGGTCTCAGCTCTGACATTATAGCTCTGGGGCTCGGGGTCTAGTCCAGTTCTGGGGACATGCCTGTGGCGGTCAGAGCTGCTGGGCCCGGTCTGGAGCTGGGGCTGGGGTTGGGGTGAGGGTTCAGGATGCTCAGTCTGTGCAATAATAAACCTGTGTTTGCTCACGGGCGGCGGACTGGCGCATCTGCTTGTGGGCCCGGGATGAGGGGCTGGCGGGGGAGCTGGGTCCTGCTGGCCGTTCTGAAGATGAGGGAGCGTGAGGACTATGTCCTCAGGCCAGAAATATGTGCCCTGGGCTAGAGGCCTGGCTGGAGGGTTCCAAACAAACAAGTGCAGCCATTCACCCCAAACCAAATGGGCAGCCAGGGCAGGAAAGCCCGTGAGACTCTTTATCTCCAATTAACCACAAGAAAACTGGAAGTGGTGCTGTGGCGCAAGTGGCAGTGTGCTCGCCTTGAGCTGAAGAGCTGAGGGACAATGCCCAGGCCCAGAGTTCAAGCCTCATGACCACCACCACCAACAGCAAAAAAACCCAAATGGGAAGGAAAGTCGCGGTGACACTGAAGGACCTGGACTCCGGGCCGCTGCAGCAGGACGACAGGACCTGGGTCCCAAGATCCAGAGGAGCCAGCTGGAAGCAGAGGAAACCCAGTAGTCCAGCAATGCTCGTCTGGGAGCCTTCTCTCAGGACCGGTCAGGAGGCCTGTGATATTCAAGTCTTGGCTGCTTGGGGGTGAGGGGAACGGGGACTTGACTCTAGTCACAAGGTGTTTATGTATCAGACTCGTTCCTGGCATCCCAGGGGATGGCAGGAGAGAATGGCTCAGCCCAAACGAGACCGATGGGAAATGGAGGCACAGATGCCCAGGTGTTTTGTTTTGGCTGGTCCTGGGGTTTGAACTCGGCCCAGGCACTGTTCCTGAGCTTCTCTGTGCTCAAGGCGAGTACTCTACTACTCACGCCACAGTGCCACTTATGGCTTTTTCTGAGTAGCTTATTAGAGATAAGAGTCTCATAGACTTTCCTGCCTGAGCTGGCTTCAAACCTTGATCCTCAGATCTCAGCCTCCTGAGTAGCTGGATTACAGTCGGGAGCCACCAGCACCTGGCAGATGCTCAGTTTTGATTCTGTTTTTACTCACTGGACATCCACAAGCCCAAGTGGAAAATTAGAGCTTGCAGAGGGTGGGGGGGCAGGGGCTTTCCTACGCATGCTCTCACAGAACTGCTCATTTTGGCAGTGGGTGGGAGGCATGAAGCGGGGAGCACGTTGGGGTTAGGAGCGCCACTCTGTTGTGGGGTCAGCAGCTGCAGTGGCCCTGGTGATCAGAAGGGCAAAACAATCTTTCTGTCATTCTCCTCCATCTGCTAATGGATTAATGTCCCTCTATCCTTTAATGAAGTTCAAGGCATCGAACTTTCTTTTCTTTTTTTGGTCGGTCGAGGGGCTTGAACTCTGGGTCTGGGAGCTGTCCCTGAGTGCAAGGTGAGCACTCTACCACTTGAACCACAGCACCACTTAGTTTTCTGGTGGTTTGTTGGAGGTGAAGAGTTTCATGGACTTTCCTGCCCCAGCTGGCTTTGAACCATGATCCTCAGATCTCAGCCTCCTGAGTAGCTAGGATGACAGGTGTGAGTCACTGGCGCCTGGCTCAAAGTTTCTTTTTATTGGGTGTGGGCTTGGGGGTGTTGGCCCCTCCAAAGTTCCTTGGCTTGGGAGGCCAGGCAGCCAGGCCATCTTCCCGAATTCACCCTTTGTTCTGGTCTGTGTGTGGGACTGTGCGTGGGAACTACCTGGCTCCAGGCTGTCCAGCTCATTAGTCAGGTGGTCTTTGGAAAGGTGGTGGGAGGTATGAGTTCTGGCCAATTAGATGAGGTGTCAGGATGTTAGACCGCTTGCTCGTCAGCCATTTTGGAAAACAGTTTGGCCAGGATTGCTTTTTTTTTTTTTTTTTTTAACCTAAGCATATAACCATCCCAGGCTCCAGCCTGTCCACTCCCACGTGTTTACTCAACATAACTGAAAACATATGTCTGAAAAGACTGGCGTGAGAGTGTTCTAACAGCTTCAGCATCACTGCCAAAACCCAGAAACACACATGACTCTCAGCAGAAGATGAGGAAAACAAACTGCTCTGCCAGTGCAGCGGAGTCCCACTCGTCAAGAATGGGATAAATGGCAGACGGCAGCACGGGAGAATTACGAAGTGAAAGAAGCACACACAGAAATTACAGCTCAGGGCCAAACTCCAGGAGTTCTACTCCTTCCTGTAAGCTGAATTAAGAGAGGAGGCAGACCACGTGCTGCTATAATTCTAGCAAGCCTGTGGAGTAAAGTCCATGAGATGCTTATTTTCAATTAACCAGCAAAAAGCCAAAAGTGGAGGTGTGGCCTATGTGGTTGAGTGCAGGCCCCCTGCCCAAAGATGATGAAGGGTAGTAAAAGGAGATTATTTGTGGTGCTGATAAAAGCTCTACTTCCAACTATCACTTCAAATATCTTTGTTTTATATAGACAGATGATAAAGTCTAAAAGTACACCAACCACCACAGGGTATTTTCAGAGTTCAGGAGGAAAGGAGATTCTTAGGCACAAGCAGCCAGCAGAAGGCAGCACTCAGTTCATCTTCAGCCCTCTCTGAGGAATACACAGGAAGCTATAGGTTTAAACAGACAAAGAACGAGGGGCAGGATCCCAGGTGTGAGGCATCAGACTTGTCAGTCATTGTCTCAGGACTGGTTGTTACAATCTGAGTCACTGACAACTGGCAGAGGGTCCAGGCTCCTGTCCATTACTTCTGGCTGCAAAGCAACTGCAGGAAAGAACGGCTCAGGACAAGAGCCAAAGTGGAAGAGGCTGAGTGCCTTGCTTATTATCTAGCTTTTAGTTAATGTTTGGGCCCAAGTAGGGGACAAGCAAAAGCAGCTGTAAGTAATAGTCTATAAAAAAGCAAAACTTCAGTGAGAAAAAACCTAGTAGAGGCTTGGGGTCCCAAGGTGGGGAAGGAGTAGAAGGGGATATCTAGGGTGATGAAAACATGTTGGCTGGGATCTGTACCCCTAAAATCTGAGGAAAACCCTCACTACACTCCAACTGATCTCACTGAACTGTTAGAATAATTCTGTGGGGCCATAATTTTGGGGGGACAGGTTGAATATGGAGACCAAAGGTGGCAGTGAGTGATCTGTGTTTCCTGCCTGCTGTGACAGAATTCTATTAAAGTACACTGTTAGCTCTGGAGCCCAATTTGGCTAATTAACTGTTCTGCGTAGGCCTGGCTACATGATGCTGCAGTTCTCAACCCTGACCACCAGGAGGCACCACCACTCCACACACAAATTTGCTCCAGCCTGCTTTACCAAAACAAAAAACAAACCACCATCATTGCTTTGTGATTTAACTCAATAATAACCAGTATTAATTTGAAGCACTGCTGTGTGCCAGGCTTGGCACTAAGCACTTTCCCTGAAGGATTTCTGACATTCCTTATTAACATCTCTAAGAACTGAGACAAGATTATTTAAGACAAGAATTCAAGTTGTCTTTCTTTTTCTATCTTTGCTGCTATTGGAGTTTGAACTCGGGGCCTAATGCTTGTTTGGTTAGTGCGCTATCATTTGAGCTCCACCCTTTTTAAAAAAAATTCTTATTTTGGAGATGGAGTCTCACAAACTTTTCTGCCTGGACTAGTTTTGAACCTTGATCCTTTGGATTTCAGTTTCCTGAGTGCCTAGGATTATAGGCATGGGCCAAGGCCTAAAGTCTTGGCTTAAAATCAGGTCTGTGTGCCTGTCTATAACCAAATCCTCCTTACCCATGTCCTCAGTGGAGATCACAAAGGAGAGAAAGCTGCAGGTGGCCGGCAAGCTTGTGAGTTGTATCTAGCAGGTGTGATGAATACATACTGAATTTAAGTTCACTTCACTGTAGTCCTTACCACACCCTGTCCCATCTGTCAAGCTGTCCCACTTTGTACCAGTTACCTTCCTGATGCCAATATAATTGTACGCATGTATGCTCATGGTAACTTCCTGACTTCACTTATAGTAAAAACATTTCATTGGTGGTGGTGTTGCCAATACTAGAGCTTGAACCCACAGCCTAGGTGATGTCCCTTAGCCTTTTCCACTCAAGGTTGGTGCTCTACTTCTTGAGCCACAGCTATGTTTCTAGCTTTTTAACTGGAGATGAGTCTCATGGACTTGCCTGCCTAGGTTGGCTTCACACTGTGATCCTCAGATCTCAGCTCTTGAGTAGCTAGGATTATAGGTGCAAGCCACCAGAGCCTGTTAAGAACATTGAAATAATATTAATAATCGTTTATACTGGAGTCAAAGGATCCAGGGGGAAAACTTAGGGATTTAGAAGAGCATGCAGAAGATAAAACCTACTGTGTCCCATGTCAAGTCGGAGATGTGGGGATGTGACCTTGTCCATATTGGTAAGGGTTGTTTCTAAGTCACTGGGCAGGATACGGAGGCTCCTTAGGATGCTCAGCACTGAGCTAGAGATGAGGTTCAGCACATCCTGTTTCCTACCTCTTCCCAGAAGAGGGACAGATCTGGTGACTGACATCTCCATATACAGCCCATCCTGGTTTTATCTATTTCCTTTTGCCTGGCCCATGAGCCACTGGTTGGATTTCCCCAGCGTCACAGCATTTCTCATCATTCTGGAGTACTCTAGTCTTTAGGGGATGAACCATGTTGACGTTCTGATCATCCCCCTGCCTCCCAAGTGTGATTGTGTTTGGGGACAAGGAGCTCTAAGGCGATTAAAACTCAAATGAGGCCATTAGGATGGACCCAAATCTCCTCTGCCCCATTTCCTTAGATAGGGAAATTTGAGGACTGAAGTCATGACTCAGGCGGTCAGGTGTCAGCGTGAGCAAGGCCATTTGAACACAGAGCCCCCTGGCTGTGTGCCCAGATGCAGCTGGCATCCTAGAAAACACACGGGGCCTGAGCTGGGGATTCTGGCTCCTGTGGTTTTCTGGGTAAAAACTGTTAAGACCAGGGAGGGAGGGAGGAAGGGTCAAGAAGGAGCTGACAGGGACATGGCTGCTGGAGATCTGCTCCTGCCTGATCTCTGGAGCATGGAGCCTCCCCCCCCCCCCCCGGGGGGGGGGGAGGAGCTTCTGTTGCTTGGGCATCCTGATTGGACAGATCTGCATGTTGAAACCCTAGCCCTAATGTCTTGGGTTATGGAAGCGAGGCCTTTGGAAGATGATGGGTTCTGAGGGTGGAGCTCTCATTCATGACATTTGTGCCCTTTTATAAAAGAGAACCTACACAGGTGTCTCAAAACTCTGAGGACCTAGAAAGATATGGACACCTTGGACTTCCCAGACTGCAAAAGAGTGAGAAATAGATATTTGATGGATATGTATTAGGCACCCTGTGGATTTTCAACCTGGTGACACAAGTAGAGGATATCAGCCTTCTGTACTTCCCATTAGCCCATCTATGCTCAGGAGCTGCAGATCACACCCAAGTGACAGTGTTGATTGCCTGTAGGTGGCTATTCATACTTAAGTGTCCTGAGCGGCCAGCCCAAAGTCTAGCCTGGACACACAGACACCTGCAAATGCCCCTGAGCCCTGGTACAGCACAGAGGTCTTGGGCTCTGTTTTGAGGGATCGGGGCCTCAGGTTCTGATCACTTCAGGCTGTCTGTTTGGAGCCCACGATGCTGCTCTCCCTTGTAAAGGCACGAATGGAATATGAACCTGTCTAAGCCATCACCGCGTAACTGACAGGCTCCACACAGGAGAGGAAATTGTAACCACATGAAATATTGATGTTCCACATTACCTTGCTGCACGGAATTGACAGCCTGGTGTTTCTGTTTGTGTGGAATTTCTTTTTCCCAAAGTGGATTACAATCTGCCCTTCGGTGAGGAGATTGCTCTCAGCAAGGCTGTGTCCGCCCCTGGGGCTGGAGAAGTGTCTATGGTCCCTCCTAAAGGTAGGACACTTCTCTGTATGTCCCTCAACACCTGCCATGCCCCCTCCTCAAAAGAAGGCTGTTGCTGGGTACGACTAGGGCATGATGCTGGAAGTCCTAGCATATCAGGGGGCTGAGACCCAGAGGATCACAGTTTCAAAGCCAGCCTAGACACTGAAGTCTATGAGATTTCCCATCTCAAATTAACCAACAAAATGGGAAACGGGATGAATGGCCGCAGTGGTAGAGCACCCACCATGAACAAAAGCAAGCTGAGCGAGATCTCAAGCCACAATATTGGCACCCCCCACCCCAAAAAGGAAAGAAAGACAGCTATGTCTGCCCAACAACCCTTCCCAGCAGGCACTTGAATCCAGACAGATAAAGGAATCACAGAACATTCCTTACCAAGTGCCGGAGAGCCTGGCTGATGGAGTCCCTGGTCTCATAATGCCCTCTACTCCAGGCCCACTGCCCCCTTTGGTTCTGGTCACCATCTCCCTCAGCCTGTCTGCAGACACCACCGTGTGGCGGCGCTGTGTCCAGAACCCTGCTCATCACCATCGTGCTCTCTGCCCCAAATACGTTGGCATTCGCAGTGTACACCATCAGCTGTAATCTGTTATGCCAGTGTTTCCTAGATCATAGGTGCATTTGGGGTGTTCTTTGGGCACTAGGGATTTTATGAACAATCTTCAGTGTCTGGATGGACTAAGTTTCACGTGGAAGGCTGATGTTTCCCCGTGTGTGTGTGTGTGTGTGTGTGTGTGTGTGTGTGTGTGTGTGTACTGCTGTGTGTCTTTTATCAATTCAGCACACTTGACCATTTACTCTGTGACATAAACGGTGTTGAGTCTTGTATTCTGAAAAAGCTGAAGTCAGCAAGGTCTGCCACTCCTCTACCGACCCACACGGGCCGGTCAGGCTGGTCAGACTTCAACTTACGTCTGTCCACCCACTTTGGGCGGGTCCAGCTGGCTGACAAGCTCTGCACACACACACACGCGCGCACACACACACACACACACACACACACACACACACACACACACACCTGCTTACCACTTTTCAGAAGTTTTATTATAAAGAGATCTGAGAGAAGCACTGGGCCACCGGGACAGATGTGTGTCAGGACCCAGAAAACAGCTGCAAACAACTCCAAGAACCCCAACCCAAACCAAACCCCAAACACGCACACGTTTTAGGATCAACTGCAATTCTGTTCTCATGTTTTCTTCATAAATACATGACTAAAAAACAAAAACAAAAACAAAACCAGAATCGGCACTGGCAATCTTAAATAGATGGGCACATGGTTTAAGAAATAATAAGGGCAATGCCTCTGAATGGGGCTAGAAATTGTCCGCTCCTCTCTCACTGCACTGATAACGTAGCTTCAGTTGGACAGCTGCTTGTGCATATGTCTCCCTTAAGAAAAAACTTAAAAAAAAATAACAACCCACTGTGCGAAGAAGAGTCATAGAAAATGCTTTTTAACCTTAAAGGAAACTACTTGTCTTCCCCCCGACAAAATATCCCCACGATGCCTTCAGCACAGGTCTAAAACACTTAGTAGCTACTTACACGAAGCCCACGGTTCTGAACGTTTTCTCACAGTGAGTAACAGGAAACCGTATTTGCACGCCTGGGGCTGGCCAGGTTCCCGCCCTACATCTGGGGTGGGTTTCTGTGGATAAACGACCTCGCCAGGGATCGGGCAGCTCTCAAGGAGCCCAGGCTGGGGCCAGACATCCAGACATAGGGTACAGGGCAGGGAGCGGGGTCCACAGCTACCCTGGAGCAAGCAGGTCAGCGGGCAGAAGGTTCCTGCAGGTTCTTTGGGCTGGCAGTAGGCGGCAGGCTGCCTCCGCAGAGGCTGATGGGACGTGGAGGAAGAGACTCAGCCCTGGGGCACTGGCGCCTCACGGCTCTGGGCTGGCTGGTCACCCCGTCTGCTGCCACAGCCGAACTCCTGTGGGCAGCTCTTCAGCCCTCCAGTGAGCCTCCGGGGCAGAGGGAGGCAGGATTAGGTGAGGTAGAGTGATTTATCCCTGGGAAGCAGGCTGTGGGAGAGAGAAGGGGCTCATGAGCCTCTGCAGCCTGCCCTGGCCCCGCCCCGCTCCTCACCCTGGATGGCTCACCCTGTGTGGTGGGGCCTTCCCATGGTCCACCAAGAAAACCTACACCCCACCCCCTCTGCTGGCATCCTGGTGAAGCCTGCCCAACTGTGGAGCCTGGGGAGTGGTGTGTCCTTCCTCAGAGTTTTCCAGGACTGCCACAGCCCGGGTGGCTCTCTCTGTACATTTCAGACAGAACTACGGAGGGCAGGTGCCTTTTCTGTCACTACAACAGGGCCCTGCTGGGCTCCTGATGTCTGTCTGCACAGGTGTATGGAGAGCGAGCTGCAGAAGGGCCTGCCCCTGCTGCTACCCTGGACTGGATTGGGCGGGGGGTGGGGCTCTGCACCCACGGAGCTGTGGGCTGGGAATCCTTCCAGCTGCGTCACTTCACCCTGCAGATCTTCCCCTAGGTGTGTCACAAGTGTGTGCAGGGGGCACAGCCAGAGTCTGCTCAGTGCCCAGGAGGGCTGGCAGGCTGGGCAGGCTGAGAAGCCACATGTAGGAAGGCGGTGATCAGGAGCCAGGGGTAGCTTTCTTCTATTATTTTTTTGTCCGTGGTGGGACTTGAACTCAGGGCCCGGGTGCTGTTCCTGTACTCTTTTGCTCAGGGCTGGCACTTGAGCCACTAGCTCCACTTCTGGGTTTTGAGTGGTGAATTGGAGAGAAAAGTCTCATGGGGACTTTGCTGCCCAGGGCTGGCTTCGAACAGCAATCCTCAGATCTCAAGCCTTCTGAGCAGCTAGGATTACAGGTCTGAGTCATGGGCACCTAGCCAGGAGTAGATTTTACTTGGCACCAGGATGGCTAGCGCACACCAAACCCAGGGGCCTCATCTCCACAGTGAAAGCAGACACTGAGCCAGTGTTGGTGCCATGGTCCCTGGGCTAGGAGGCGGGGAGGAGCCCCGAGATCCTGGGGTCTGAGTATGAAGAGAAGGGCGGCGGCCCACAGGGGCTGGTGGGGCCTTCTCCAAGCTGTGTGCCTCCTGGGTGCACCCCCTAAGGACCCCTCTGCCCACCCAGCTGCCCCTTTTCCCAGAGAACTGTCCTTCCTGGTGGGGGGTGGGGGGTGGAGACCCTGGGAACAGCTCTGAGCCAGTGGCTGCCTGACTGAACTCCTTGGCCTACGTGGCATTCCCTGTGGCTGTGATCTCTGCTCCCAGGGTCCCACGGGGTCAGGAAGAGGCAAGTTTCCAGCCTAGGCCCCCACCCCACCCAGCTCCTCTCCCATCTGTGTGTACATACACACTGACACATACGTGTGTACACACACACACACCTTCCCTCCTCCATCATCCAGGGTACCCTAGAGTTCCCACTATCTTGTTCTGCTCCTAAGGAATCCAGACACAGGATCTGGGTGTGGGGCACAGATTGAAGGGGAATGGCAGGGCTCAGTTTCCTAGGCCCGGGCATCAGATCAGCCAAGATCCTCGGGGACCCTGCTTTGCTCTGCCCTGTTGATAAGACTCTGAGCATTGACAGGCAAGGCTGACACTGATCACCTCATTCTCCTGAGTGATCCCTCATCTCCAGACCCCTCTATCCCCCCGACCCCCTTGCCCTGGCTGCCCTGTGAGAGAGGTGTACACAGGCAGGGCCCCCGGGGGAGGCGGTCCAGGACTGACCTGCAGGTGCCAAGGCCTCGCTCCCCGCCGGGGTAGCTGCTGCCATCCCAGTCCCCACTGCTGCTCGTGGGGTTGGACGGGCCAGGAGAGCGGGAGCCGGAGCCGCCGGGGAACTCAGCTATGTGTGGGAACTCCTACGGGGAAAGGGGGGACGGTCAGCGGGGGACAGGCCAGGGTGACTTCTCACACAGCCAGGACAGTGCAGTCTCTGTGCGTTTCAGGAGGTGCTTTCTGCAGATACTTCCTGGGGACCACACAGAACATCCACTCTGCCTCCAAAAGTTTCTCCCTCTTCCCCAGTGGAGCACCCCACAGAAAGTTCCACCGGGACTCAGTGGCTGAGCCACTTGCCTAGCATGGGCGAGGCCCCGGGCTCCAGCCCTGGCACTACACAGTAAAGGGAAAATGAAAACAACAAGGGAAAAAGAGCCAGGCGCTGGTGGCTCACACCTGTCATCCTAGCTACTCAGGAGGCTGAGATCTGAGGATCATGGTTTAAAGCCAGCCCGGGCTTTAAAGGAGTCTGTGAGACTCTTATCCCCAATGAATCTCCAGAAAACTGGAAGTGGCGCTGTGGCTCAAAGTGATACAGCGTTAGTCTTGAGCGAAAAGAGATCAGGGATTGAGTTCAAGCCCCATGACTGACAAAAAATAAAATAATTAATTAAATGAGGAATAGAAAATGTCTTGGCAGTCATGGAGGAGACTTTCCTTTTCGGTCCAATCTGTCATGTGGAATTGTTGAGCGGCACGAGAACTTGGAGGTAGTCCCGTGGAATGGTGAGTGGAAGGGAGGAGGCCTTAAAGGCCTTGGGGAGGGCCAGGCGCTGGGAATGATGTGGCAGAAACTTTTGCCCTTTGGGCTGGGAAGGTGGCTTAGTGGTAGAGTGCTTGCCTCTCATGCATGGAGCCCTGGGTTCGATTCCTCAGTCACACATAAACAGAAAAAGCCAGAAATGGCCCTGTGGCTCAAATGGTAGAATGTTATCCTTGAGCAAAAAAAAAAGCCCAGGGACAGTGCTCAGACCCTGAGCTCAAACCCTAGGACTAAAAAAAAAAAAAAAAAAAAAAAAAAGAAGAAATAAAAAGAAAAAGAAATCATTGCCTTTTGGGCCTAGGAGGCCTGGGAATAGCTGAAGGATCTACTTGGCAACTTGTCCGTGTCTTTCAAGTGAGGTGCACAGACCCATTATACAGACGGGAAACCAAGGCTCAGACAGGTACAGGCCTCAGCTAGGTCACCCAGCTAGTGAGTGGCAGGGTCAGGATGCCACCTCCATACCTTTCAAGGGGGGGGGGGTCACAGAAGGCTGTCCCCATCTGCCTTGCTTACCTGTGTCCCTGGGGGCGAGGGGCTCATGGCCAGCTGTACCTGGAGTGCCATGGAGGCGGGCAGGACCGGAGGCTGGGGGGCGGGGGACATGCTCACAGGCGGGCTGAGGAGGGCGCTCTGGGCGTGTGGGGGCAGTGGCAGCTGCTGATGGAGCGAGGGGCTGAGCGGGAAGGAGGGAGGTGGAGAAGCACTGAGGCCGGGCAGCAGAGCCTTGGAGCCCAGCGTCCGGGCGAGGCTGGCGGGAGAGGCCCCGCTGCGGAAGGCCTGTAGGTCGGAGGGCGTCAGGAAGGAGGCCAGGCCAGGCATGGCGTACATGGGCTGCTTGGGCGGGAGCATCTTGGCTGGCGGATTGGCCTGTGTGCTCTTGGTCTCACCTTCTGGGGGGCTCTGGAAGGAGATGGGAGGCAGTCATTCTGGAGGCAAGGGAGAATCCGGAAGCTGGGCTGTGAGGCCAGGTGATTTTGTAAGCTCCCGACCTGGCCTGGGGCTGTCTCTGTGCCCTTGGAGGGAGAGCGTGGACTGACCAGTCCATGCAGGTGAGCGCTAAGGACTCCTGTCCTGCTGAGCCCCAGGGGGGCCTGCCTGCTGTGGTGTCCCTCCCTCCCTCCTTGGCTAAACAGTAAGGCCAGCACAGCAGCCAAGCCATCCTCAGTTCAGGCTCCTCCTGAGAGTCCTCTTTGCTTAACCCTTCACAGTCCACTTGACCCTAGCGGTCCCTCCTGTGACTGCCCCCACAACAATCCCCCATGTCCCCCTGGGATGCATAGCCACACCTCACTCCAGCCCCGCTGGGGTGGACAGCATGCAGAGGCGCATGGTCAGGAGTCAAGGCTGGCAAAGCAAGGTTTGAACCTACAACCTCCACTCAATTGGACAATTCCAGACACGTTGCTGATTGCCTCCGAGTAGTCTTGTTGGAAGGATTCCATGAAATGACTTGCAAGTAAAGTGCCCCGCATGAGCCTGGCACACTGTGGGTGTGACCTACAGGTCTTCTTCCCAAGGCCTCTGGTGGCCATTCCCTTGGGGCCCAGCGCTTGCTCCATCCCTTAGGGATTCCGTTACCTTGGAGACTAGGCTAGCTCTGTAGGCTGCCAAAGCTTTCAGGTACTCTTTCTTTGCTGCTTCGGTCTTCCTCTTGTAGGCCTGAAAGGTGCAAGCAAGACATGGGCAATGCCCGGGAGAATGTCATAGCCTGGGCTGGAAGGCCTGGATTCCAGGGCCATGCATAGAGGAGGGTGCTGGGATCAGAGGATCGGGAACCCCGAGGCCAATTTAGATCCCAGGACTTCAGCCATGTTTCTATGTGTTCTTGGGACAACATGCTTTACCTCTCTGGGCTTCCAGGTCACAATAATTCACTTCAAGAAAGAGCTCTGGAAGGCGCTATTCTGAGGCAGCACAGTGCAGATTTCTTAATAAAGCAGCCAAGCATCCTATTTTAATTCTGGCATGAAACCCACTTGTTTAGGTACGTCAATCTGGATCCCATTGGCTAATGTCGTTACTAGAAATTTTAGACCCAAGTTCTCACATTTTTGTAAAGCTGGCCTCAGCCTGTTTGTTCTTGATGGTAGTAGAGTCTACCTGATTACTTTTGTGAAAAAAAATTGGTCTTTTTTGTTGTTGTTGTTTTTCCTATCAAAGTGGGTTGCTTAAAAGTCCCTGCTTTGGCCTTGACACTTGTTGATTATTCTTCTGAGACAATTATCAGCAAGAATAGAAAAGAGGATGGGAATGTGGCTCAGTAGAAGAGTGCTTGCCTACCATGCAGTAAGCCCTGGTTCGATTCCTCAGTACCACATAAACAGAAAAAGCCAGAACTGGTGCTGTGGCTCAAGTGGTACAGCGCTAGCCTTGAGCACAGAGAGCCTCAGGGACAGTGCCCAGGTCCTGAGTTCAAGCCCCAGAACTGAGAGTGGAGGGGAAAAAAAAAGAAAAAGAAGGACTGCTTTGGGATAAGGAAGGGTTTTTGAAATGTTTCCTCTTCACTGATTTTTTCCAAGATGGAATTAAGACTTCCTCAGAAGACAAATAACAGAGGGTGTAGCTATGTTTTGAGATCACTTGTGTACTGTTAATCTTATTTCAAAGTCTTTTATAGGTCACCTTATATAAATACAACTTAACCTATTCAAACTAGCCAATCAAAAGCAGATTGTAGGGGCTGGGAAGGTGGCTCAGTGGTAGAGTGCTTGCCTTGCGTGCATGAGACCCTGGGTTCGATTCCTCAGCATCACATAAGCAGAAAAAACCCAGAAGTGGTGCTGTGCCTCAAGCGGTAGAGCGCTAGCCTTGAGTTAAAGAGCTGAGGGACAGCGCCCAGGTCCAGAGTTCAGGCCCCAGCACCAACAAAAACAAAACAAAACAAAAGCAGATTGTAAACCTGCACTCCACCAATCTGAGCAGAGGGATAAATTGAGGAGCAGGCTGCCTGCTCTGTGTGTACTTGCTTGCCAGATTTTTGGCTGATGGCACACTCTTCTGCAGAAGTAAATTCTGCCTTGCTGAGACAATTCTTTGTTTTTGTGTCTATCATTGTCACTCAAGTGGCTCTTGGAGAACATATTTATATCACTTTGGTTAACGGAACAAGAATAAATATGTAAGGAAAGCCTTGAAAAGTGCTTACACACTGGGGCTGTCTCTTGCTGCCCTGGAGACTCTGAGTTGCTGTGTGATCAGGCCTGGCCTGCAGGATGATGAGCTGCTCAGGGTCCAATTTGCCCCACTGCTCCTGCTGACGGTCAAGCTAGCCAATATACCACAGCTGACTGCAGGTGCATGGACATATCCTGCTTAGAGCTGCAGCAGAAGCATCCAACTGAGCCCCACCCAGGCTGTGGGCCCTCTGACTCATGATTTGAATAATGTTTGTTGCTTTAAGTCATTAAACTCGAGGGTTGTTTACTACTCCTGTACAGTGAGTGGCATCACAACTTTGTGTCAGGACTTTGTCAGACTTTTCTACATTCAGGAATTGTCGGCTCTCTGGTGAATTGGGAAAATGTTCTTACCAATCAGGTAAGCTTAGAACTTTTGGGGTGCAGCAAGCTTTTAAAATTTGTTTCTTATAATTTTCTCCACACTATCTCTCTTGGTCACTAGTGTTTTTTAATTATTAGCAAAATAGGAACATAAGGAAAATTTCTTAGTGTGATTAAAAAATAAATAAAAACCAACACCAGCGCCAGCTGATAATGAGACACTTTAGTAAGGAAAGTAACCGCAAGAAGACCACTGACCCTGACTATTGAATATGATTCTCTAACAGTCCCGGGTCACCATAAGAGATAAGTCACTGGGATAAGAAAACAAAGAATAGATAATATAAAAAAAATTAAAGCTGGGTGCCAATGGCCCATGTCTGTAATCCTAGCTACTCAGGAGGCTGAGATCTTAGAATCTCAGTTTGAAGCCAGTCCAAATAAGAAAAGTCCCAGACAGATTCATCTTCAATTAACCACCCAAAATGCCAGAAATGGAGCTGTGGCTCAAGTGATGAGAGTACCAGCTTTGAGTGAAAAGTCCAAGAACAGAGCCCAGGTCGAGTTGAAGCCACAGGACTAGCACCAAAAAAGAGGTGAAAATAATATAAAAATGGGAAATTAATATTCAAGCCCCATGACCGACAAAAAATTAAAAATGGGAAATAAAGAGATAAAACTAAGGAGATAGCGGGGCACCAGTGGCTCATACCTGTCACCTAACTACTCAGGATACTGAAAATCTGAGAACTGAGGTTCAAAGCCAGCTCGGGCAGGAATGTTTGTGAGACTCTTATCTCCAATTAACCATCAGAAAACCAGAAGTGGCACTGTGGCTCAAAGTGGTAGAGTGCTAGCCTTAAGCTAGCCCAGACTCTTGAGTTCATGGCCCATGACCAACCCAAATGAATAAATAAGTAGACAATGTTGTATCATCACCATTATATCATGGGACCATTACTTGTAGAAAACAACATATTCACATAGCATTCATAGAGACATATATATACAGATAAATGTATGAGTATATATGCTTATATATATACACGATAGACATAAATAGATAGATACACATATATGTGTGTGTGTGTGTATATATATATATACATATATATATATATATATATGGATATGGGTATATCTTTTTGTTAATATTATCTTAAATCCCCAGAAATCAATTGAAAACTGATTAGAAATAATAACATAGCTTAGTTTGGTGGGTAGTTACAAAATAAATTCTTATCTTTTAATATATGAACCACAACCTGTTAGAGAAATCGGGGGAGTGTTCTATTTATAACATTCTATTTACAATGATCTATTTATAATGCTCGATTATAATGCATTATACCAAGTTCTTGGATGGGAATGAATAAACAAAAAATTCTTGGATTGAAAGAAAACACACACACATGCACAAACACACACTTAAAATAAAAAGGGAAGTGACTTAAGTAATAGAGCATCTTTCTGGCAGACTGAGGGGTATGTAGTTCAAATCCCAGTACTACTACTACAAAAGAAAAGGGCCAACGTTCTCATTCTCAACTCATGGATGGGGAAGCGAGATACAGATGTTAAGTGGCTACACCTAACACAGCTGGGAAGTGGCAGCTTGGGAACTTGGCAACTTCCGGATGGCCAAACTTGGCCCAGGAGGCTCCAAAGCCTCAGCAATGATCCAGAAAGAATGGAGGCTAAGCAGGATGCTGGTGGCTCATGCATGCCTGGCATCCTAGCTACTCAGGAGGCCTAGATCTGAGGATCATGGTTCAAATCTAGCCTGGGCAGGAAAGTCTGTGAGACTCTTCTCTCTGATTAACCACCAGAAAACTGGAAGTGGTGCTGTGGCTCAAGTGGTAGAGCAGTCCCCTGGAGCTGAAGAGCTGAGGGACAGTGCCCAAGCCCAGAGTTCCAGCCCAACGACCAGCCTCCCTCCCCCCCCCCAAAAAAAAAAAAAGAATGGAGGCTCACCTGCTTCTGCTCCTCTCCCAGGCTGTCCCACATGGAGGCCACGATTTTGGACACATCTCCAAAGGTGGCACTGGGGTTTTGACCCTTGATGGCGGCCTGAGTGTCTCTGAAGAAGAGCGCGTAGGCTGACACAGGCTTCTGAGGCTCATTGGGGTCCTTCTTCTTTTTCTTCTTTGGGTTCTTGGCCTTTTTTCCTGGGTCAGCTGACGGTCTCTTCTCTCCTGAAATCTGACCAGGTAAGAGGAGTCAGAACACCATAGAAGGTCACCAGCTTCCTGCCAAAGATAAAACTCCAGCCATACTATTAAGACTCACCACTCACTGGGTGGAGAGGCAATGGGCAGATAGAAAGACACCCCCAGAGACACAAATAACAACAACAAAAAGGCAGACACAGAGTTATATAGATATAGGCACACACAGTGACACAGGCAGACAGACACACACACTGTCCTGGGTGTAGCTTTATCTCTTTCTCTCTTTTTTCACATTTTTTTGTTTTTTGCTGTGATCCTGGGTTTTGAACTCAGGACTTCAGCTTGGGAGGCAGGTGCTTTCACCCTTGAGCCAGGCCTCTAGCCATTTTTTGCTTTAGTTACTTTTACCGATAGGGTCTAGTGTTTTTACCTGGGGCTGGACTTACATTACTGATCCTCAGATCCACAGCCTCTCAAGTAGTTGGGCTCACTAGTGTGCACCTCACACCCAATGTTACATTTGACTTTTTAAGGAGAATTAGTGCTACACTAAGTCTGATTTAAACACCCAGGAGAAGGAAAGTCTTCAAAGTAATAGACTTCAGGGTCAAGACTGCTACACTGCAGGTGAAATCAGCCAGCGACCTGAGCAATAAAATCTTTGTGACTTTCCAACTTTCTGTTAGAAATCATTTTCATGTCTTTCACGTTTTAAAATTTCAAAATATTCTTCTGATTTTTCCATCACTTTTTTCCTATTCAGAGAACTTGTACAAAGCTGTAAAAGCTCCTAACCAACAAGCCAGGGCTGGGTTCTAAGAGTTTGTGGAGGGACCTGCATAGACTATGTCTGGGCCTGACACTGATAGAAGAGGAAGTCTTCAGCCGGGTGCTGGTGGCTCACATCTGTAATCCTAGCTACTTAGGAGACTGAGATCTGAGGATCAAAGAGCTGAGGTTCAAAGCCAGCCCAGGCAGGAAAGACCGTGAGACTCTTATCTCCAATAACCACCAGAAAACCGGAAGTGGCGCTGTGGCTCAAGTGGTAGAGCACTCGCCTTGAGCTGAAGAGCTGAGGGACAGCGCTCAGGCCCAGAATTCAAGCCCCACGACCAACAAAAAAAAAAAAAAAAAGAGGAAGTCTTCAGTCACTAGGGACCAAGTTCTGCATGTATTTTCTCATTTACTTTTCTCCTTCATGATTCATCTCCAGTGAATACCACCCTGGATTTTTTTTCTTTTTCTTTCTTGGTCAGTCGTGGGGCTTAAACTCAGGTCCTGGGCGCTGTCCCTGAGCCTCTTTGTGCTCAAGGCTAGCACTCAACTACTTGATCCACAGTGCCACTCCCGGTTTTTAAGTGGTTAAATGGAGATGAGAGTCTCATGGGGCTGGTTTCAAACTGCGATTCTGGAATCTCAGCCTCCTGAGTAGCTAGGATTACAGGCCTGAGCCACTGGTACTCAGCTACCCTTGATTCTTAAACATCATTCCCTTCCATCAAACTTCAGGTGGCCGATGCCCAGGGCCACTGAGGTAGAGAAAAAGACAAGGCTGACATGACTGTCACAGCTCAGCCTTGCAGGCCGGATCCTTACCTGGACAGACTTTAGGCCCTGCCCATTCCTGATCACCATAGCTGCTAGGATGAGGAAGGACCTCGTGGGTCTCTGCTGGGGCCCTCCTGGATCTTGCCATGAAGTCTGCAGTTCTATGTGCTAAGAAGATGGCGGTGGTGCCATAAAGTGAAAGGGAAACCTGGATGAGTGGACCAGCCTCTGGCCTCCACGTCTGAGGGGTGGGGACGGAGAGGAGGGCCTGTGGCATCATGGCTGTCCTCAAGTCTTCTCGGAGGGCACCACCTGTCCAGGCCTTTGTCCTGTCTCATGATGGATGAATGGATGGAGAGCTGACAGACAGGTGCCGCAGGTAGTTAAAGGCACATACACCAGACTGCAACTGCAGCCACCTGCTCTGATTCCTGGCTGTGTGACACTGGACAGCTGACTTAATCTCTTGGCATTCCTCAGCTTCCCCGTCTGCCAAATGGACAGAATGAATCGTGTAGACTTGTCATGAGGATCACGTGGATAATGCTTGTTGTGTGCTTACAACAGTGCCTGAACAGTTGGGTGCCGGTGGCTCATGCCTGTAATCCTAGCTACTCTAGGGAGATCTAAGGATTGGGGTTGAAAGCCAGCATGAACAGAAAAGTCCATGAGACTCTTATCTCCAACGAACCACTAGAAAACATGAAGTCATGTGGTAGCTCAATGGTAGAGCACCAGCCTTGAGCAAATGAGCTCAGGGACAGCGTTCAGGCCCTGAGTTCAATTCTCATGACTGTGGACAATGGACAATAACAACAGCAAGATGATGACAACGATGACAACAACCAAAAGATAAAAGAACAGTGTCTGTCCCACAATTGTGTTTTACAAGTGTTTGCTAAGTAAGAACTATTATTTCATCCTGGCCTGGCCAGTGATACAGGCTGAGGCATCCTGAGGATGATGTTGAACCAGGCAGCAGAGGAAGCGCAGGTCACCCCCCAATCAGGAGCTCAGGGGTCTCCTGGCATGGGCACCATGGGTACAGGGGAGAGGGGGAGGCTTTCTGCAGATTCAGGAGCCGAAGCCCAAGGCCTGCAGCATGCTACCTGTTCTACCAGCTGTCTCTCTTCTTCCTCAGCCTCCAGCAAAGGACACAGCCTTCCTTCTAGACTTTTCCAGAGGACGTGAGGGCCATGTCTAGCAGGGACCCTCCTCCACTGCCTCTCCATCCCACACACCTTGAAATGCGCTTCCGACTCCTCTTCCTGGGTGGAGCTGGAGGGAGAGGGGGTGGCCGACTTGCTTCCTGGGGGGGACGGGGAGCTGTGAGCAATGCTGCTGCGGATGCCCATTTGGGAGATGAGCTGGGATTGGCTGAGGGCACTCATGTGGCTGGCCAGCATCGCTGGGCGGGCCAGCAGGGGCCCGGGCCGGCCTGAGTCATAGGCAGCCACCTCCGAGTGGACCATCTCCTGGATCTGGGAGGAGACAGCACCGTGTTAGAAGGCTCCTCCCACCACCCCACCCCCAGCAGTATATCCTAGGAGGGAGGAGCCAGCAGGTGGCTGGCTCCCCACTGAACCATGGGAACATGGGTACCATGCCATTCTTTAACCTCTGCTCCATGTAGAGTATCTGAGGGGGCACACTGTCATTCTGCTGGCATGCTCCCTGGGCATTTGCCCCTCAATGTCAAATGGACATGAGTAATGGTCCCTGCATTTCAGCTTCTGCCCAACCTCAGTTGAGCTGGGAGCAGCTTGTCTTATGATCTCAAATTTATTCCTTCTGCTTTTCTCTTTTCCGGTTCTTCAATACCTCATTCTGTCTTTATCCCTGGGTTTGATCGCTGGCCTATTTGAAGATGCTACACAAGCACACGAGGCTTGTTGAAAAGGGAGCCCCAAAGTTCTTCTAAGCCTGTGCTTCTCTGAGTTCCACCAAAATGGCAAATGGCATTGCCAACCAGGCAGCTACTCAAACACCAGTCTTGGTCTCTCCCTTGCCCGTCATGTACCCCTTACCTTGGCATGCCCACCACACTCATTGTTGGCCCTTCCTCCAGACCAAGGCCTACACCCGACAGGCCTCTCCCTCCCACCACACCCTCTAAAATACATTAACCACCCCAGGCTACTCCCCTTTTTACAATCCAGTCTAAACAACAACAGTAATAATAATTTTTTAACCTCAAAGTTTAAAATAAAGAGAAAAATTGCACTATGGCATTTTAACATAGGGACAATATTCTTAATTTTGCTGATAAGATACTCAATAGATTCTTTTGAGCAGAATGTGGTCTACTTTCTTCTGATAAGCGACATTTTCTATTGTTTATTTGATTATTTCCTCTTCCCTCTCCAAGCCCCCCACCCCACCCTAATCTCCCATTAAACACATCAGGATTCTATCTTCTCCATCCTAATTTTGAGCTCTTAGCTTCTCTCTTGGAATCTCTAAGAAAAATTTGAGTTAATCATCTTGGCTTGCTTGTTTATCGGCAGTGTTGTTCTGTATTCCCACTGAGTTTTTAAATCCAATAATTACTTAATTTCCCTGAAAGCAATCTTGCCTGATTCTGAATTTTCCCTTCACATGACTGCACTATGAAATGGAAGTTTGTTGAGAACATCTCCTCCTGCTCCCCTCCCTGCACTTTTTTTTTGGGGGGGTAGGGTGAGGTGTGGGGGGGGAAATAGAATCTGCAGAAACCACTTTCTTAGGTTTTATAGCATTGGCCAGTGATTTCTCTATGCATTAGGCATGCAAATTCCTCAATTAGGGTCTGCATCGAGCAAAAGCAAATGATTGATGGATCTCTTGACTAAATGAATCCAGAAAAGTGAACTCAGGTGCCCTCTAGACCAGTTGTCAGATTTTCCATGGAGAAGCCTCTTTCCACTGTGGTCACAATATATCCCCAATATGTTCTTGTGGGACATTTCAGGAGACTGCTTTGTGACAAGACAGGTGCACTCTGGGAGTGCAAAGTCCTTCTCCCCATTCTCTTTGTGCACAGTCAGGATGGAGACAGAGCCCTCCATAAAGGCCACGTGTGGCTGACTGTGATTATAGACACAAACCAGTAAGGCATGGTCACTGCACGCCACAGCCCAGACTTCCCAGGGCATTGCCCCCTAGTTGGAGGCCTGCTATGTGAGGATGTGCACGGCAGATGGGCGCTGCAGCTGCCTGACCCCGGCCCCTGTGCTGTGCTGCTGCCCCTGCCCCACACCCCACGCACTGCAAATGCCAGCACTGTCTCTCCAGAGAAGTGTCACCGGTCAAATGGGAGCAGGACTGTGACACTCACCCAAGCTTTGCCTGCCCTGTGGTAGGCTTCACTGTGGCTGGACAGATGTGGGGGTACAACCAGCCGGCCCCTTATTGTGTGGCATATCCCAGCTGAGGCCACCTCCCTGCACAGCCATACACCTGGGGACATTGTTCCTGCACCCATCTTTGGAGGCCTGGCTTCTAGGCACCTCATCTGACACCTGTCTGGCTGGGCTTCAACTGAGGAAGGACCTGAGTTTGTAGACCCCTTGGCTTCCCCTCCCCTCAGTGAGGCAGTTCTGAGTTGGACTCCATTGAGGATGGCCTTGTTGCCCACCAGCCCGTCCACCACTGGCTGCCTTTCCGGTTTCAAACTCTTCATGTATCAAAGGGCTTCAACTCCCCAGTGAACTCCTTTACCCAAGCCTCTCCATGAGGTCTGCTTTTGAGTGTTCCAAGACCATGGCCCAGCCTCCTTCCAACCTTGGAGGGGCTTCTTTGAATCCAGGAGTGATGCTGGCCACCAAAGTGACCCTTCTGTAATACAAAATGTCTCCTCTGTCTGGGCATGGTGGTACATACCTGTAATCCCAGCACTTAGGAGGATGAGGAAGGAGGATCAAGAGCTGGAGGCTAGCTCCTGACTTTGTCTTAACAATAACAACAACAATAACAACAACAAGTCTCTCTGCTTGCCAGGTATAGGTGGCTCACACCTGTAATCCTAGCTACTCAGGAGGCTCAGATCTGAGGATTGCAGTTCGAAGCCAGCCCAGGCAGGAAAATCTGAGATTCTTATCCCCAGTAAACCACCAGAAAACCGGAAATGGCACTGTGACTCACGTGGTAGAATGCTTGCCTTGAACTGAAGAGCTAAGGCACAGTGTGCCCAGGCCCAGAGTTCAAGCCCCATGACCAACAAAAAAAAAAAAAAAAAAGAAAGAAAAAAAGAGAAAGGAAAGAAAAGAAATACCTCTGCTTAACATCTTTCGGCAATCCCTGGGCCTACCTAGCACTGTGGGCAACAGGTGGGCATCTCCCTGGACAGGGCTTCCCTCTGTCCTCAGCCTTGCAAGTTTTCTGGGACCCTCCATGCCCCTTCCAGAAGCCTTCCCACCCAGCCCATCCTGTGGCTCCTCCCTCTCCCACAGCCCCGCCCCCAGAGCCCCTGCTGCCTCAGATAGGTGACCCCTGGCTCTCAGCCCAGCAAGGGCCTGCACGCAGGGAAGCTCACAGAACAGACTTCTGCTTCCTGCATGGAAACATAGGGCTAGGGCCAGGAGCCACTGCCTCCGATTGGGGGAAGGACTAGGAAGAGGCGGCGGCAAGGAGGCCACAGCCCTTTGAATGTGTATTTTACATTCGCAGGCTTAACAGATTCTGAGGGCCAAGGGGATGTCTCAGCTGCAGCTTCCCTGGAGAGAGCTCCTAGATGCTGAGCTTGCCTGTGCCAGCATTGGGGTGTATTCTCCTGAGAAGTGAGAAATCACAGTGCTCCCCGCTCCTGCCTTCTGCTGAGCCTGGAACCAACGTAAGGCCTGGCGTGCTTCCCCAAGGAGGTGTCAGCAAACACAGACACACACACACCCCCCCCCCCCCCCGGGAGCTGCAAGGCTCTCCCTGGGCCCAACACTGGCTCTTCCCTATGTGTTCAAGTCCAGCCTCCCTTCCAGGAAGTCCCCAAGCTCTGTCAGAACCCAAAGGGTGATTAGAAGCCACTAACCAGCGTTTTTATCACCCACATGCAGTCTCATCGTAGCCCTGTTCGTGGAGGGCGCACCGACAGTGACCCAGGGGTCATGCAGTACATTAGTGATGCTCGCAGACCTGTGCTGGGGGCTCCACTTCATTCCTCCCACTTACAGCACACACACTGGAACTCAGAGAAGTCAAGTCACTTTCCCAGGGTCACACACCTGCCCACTGTCCACAGTTCTCTCATTGTGCCCATTAGAGAGCACGAGTGCCCTGGGCGGGGTGAGGGGGAAGGAGAAAATGAGCAAATAACTTTCTACCAACTCAAAGACTCCACGCGTATTCCTTCCTTCCTTCCATCCCTCCCTCCCTCCCTTCCTTCCTTGCTTCTCCCTCCCTCTCTTCCTCTTGAATTTCCTTCATTCCTCTTTTGAACCTGTCTAAGGTGTGAGCTTGAACCAGAGCTCACCTGGTGAAAAGAGGTGAAATAGGGAGCCCCTATTTCAAGACCTGAGGCCTTGTCTCGGTTTGGGACAGCTCAAAAGGAGCAAGCTCCTTCCAGAGGCCCCCACGGGAGGCGCTGAGGCTCTAAAGGAACACACTGAGGCTCCTGTTCTCTGCCCAATTCTGCATCCTTCATTCCTCACGGAGATGCTCCTCCATCTGCTTCCCCATCTCTTACGCCCCATCTCCATCAGAGCCTGACTGTCAACGGATCCCCGCCAGCCCCTCACCCAGCACAGCCAAGCTCCCATCGACATACTCCCATCATCTGCAAAGCCCCTGGTGTGGCTGGGTACAGGCAACATAATCCCAGGTCCCGGGGATGGGCATGGGTTATCTTAGTGGGGAGGAATTACTCAGCCTTCCTTACCACTGTCAGTGAAAGGGGAAGTCCCGGCCAAAACCCTCTCCCGTCCCCTCTCCCTTCCCCAAAGGCCTCTGCTTACACATCAAGAACCAAATAGTTGAAAACTATCCTCTTTTGGGGAAAAAGATTCCAGGCCCAAAGATGAAGGAAAGAAAGCCAATGGAAAGCTTTCCCTGGTGCCAGGTCCTCACCCCGAAGCCTCATTGGTAAGAATTTCTAATAAACTTTCATGCTTGGTAGGAGATCTTTTGCACGCTGACAAATTTCTCCCGAAATTTAGATGTCTTGTTCAGAGTAATAGCTCCAGTGCACAGGTGCCCAGCTGCTATTGTAAAATCAGTAAGCATTTAATTGAAACAAACGACTATAATAATAGTACATTATCCCTGCAGGCCAGGCGCCATCGCAGTTTTAATTATTGAGTGAAGAGTCACACTAATTTATCCTTTAAAGCAACAGCCCTGTCCCTGGCTACACTGATCATCTCGTTATGAATATGAAGGCCCAGCAGGGAAGGACTGGAAGGGAAAGCAATATGTTTTGTCTTTCAAAGAAGGTTTGCAAACACAGGCAGCTGCTGCTGGGCAGGACCTCTGTGTGTGTGTGTGTGTGTGTGTGTGTGTGTGTGTGGCCCAT